AGACACGGCCAGTTCCACAGGATGTCCTTAAAAACTGCAGGGCCCACAGTGACCTGATACCTGCCCGGCCTGATCTCACCTCAGGACCAAGGGCCTGGCTCCTGGGCTCCTAGCTGTGCAGACCACACACCCTCTCCTTGCCCTGTCTCTGGAGAAGCCACCAGGACTCCCTTCTAGAGCAGCCAGGCCCTCCTCCTCTGGGCCACAGCAGCCATCAAGAGGATGAGGACTTCAGGAGGGACCCTCAGCCCTGGAACCTCTCACCCCTCTCTCTCTCTCTCTCTCTCTCTCTCTCTCTCTCTCTCTCTCTCTCTCTCATTTTGACCCAGGGTCTTTGCACTGAGCTACATCCCCGGCCCTTTTTAATTCTGAGATAGTTGCCCTCAGCCTCCCAGAGTGCTGGGATCACAGGTATGTACCACCACACTCAGAGCTGGAATTCTCTTCTTTAAACCGGAGATCCAGTGTGAACTGTAAGGATGGGCTGGGTGTCAGGAGGTTGCTTCTGCACAGAGAGCAGCCTCGGGCATCGCTCAGGCCTTGAGCAGCCCCTGTTCCATGCAGAAAGGCTTGGCCAGTCCCACCTGGACTTGGGCACCAACATTGCCCATGTTTCCTGCTGGCAATAACTTCCCCAACATATCTTTGTGTCTCCCTCCAACGTTTAACCTTGAGTATATTTCAAGGTAAATTCAAGTCTCCCTGCTTCTGATTCATACCCCCTGAGCTCAACAAAACCAGAATGATTTGGTAATAGCTGCTGGGTTTACTGGATGCCGTCTGGGATCTGTAAAAATCTCTGTTCCTCAGAAACAGGAAGTTTCAACAGAAGGAAGGAGGCTGGTTGCAAAATTCAACGTTTGATTTGTCCCTGCCTATTGGACAGGCCCAGTGCTCATGACACTTCCTTCTTCCAGCCTGCCGACAAATACGGATTCTGTCCCTCCTGTGTGCTGGGGCTGGGGACACAGAGGTGACTTTTCAAGTGGACTAGGGCTGCCGTAATGGAGTACCACACACAAGGTAGCTTCAGGATAGAAGCTTATCCTCACAACTTTGGCGGCAGGAAGTCTGAGAGGGATGGGCAGCGCTGGTTTCTCCTCAGGCCTCCTTCCTGGGATGGCTTATGGCAGTCTCCTCCCCGTGTCTCCTTCAATTGTCCCTCTGTGTGTATCTCTGTCCACATCTCTTATAAAGACACCAGTCACGTTGGGCCCACCCTGGTAACCTCATGTTAATCTTGTTACCTCTTTAAAGGGCCTTTCTGCAGAAGAGACACACTCTGAGCATTTCAGCATATGAATTCGGAGGGGTTGGAGCACAGGTCAGCCCATGATGGTGTCTGATCCCCTGGAGTCACCTTCCTGAACCGTGTCCCTCTCTTTGGTCACAGACTGAGGTTACCATCGTTTAGGGAGCTTTCTTGGGGCTGTTTTTGCCCATGTTCAATGGTAGGATGGTTCTGGGTGAAGATTCCCACACCATCAGATTTCATTCACATTCGGCCCCCGACACTTACTAGCTGGGTGATGTAGCCCCGCTTACATAACCCTGAAGCCACGGTTTCCCCAGCTGCATAGCAAGGATGATAATGTCTGTCTCACAGGGAATGTCTGTGAAGAGCAGGGTGGAATTCACAAGTTCAGGTTCTTTTCCCAGGCATGTGGCCTGCTCGGTCCCCTCCTGCAGGGAAGTAAGGGTGCATTCTAATGGCTGTATGGGGAAGAGTGGTCTGGGAGACATAAGAAGTGAAGGCACAGGGTTAAGACGCTGGGTCCCTCTGCTAGCATGTGGCTGAAATGCTGACCACTTGTTCTGAGCTCCTGGGGCTTGGCCCAGAAGGATGCTTGCTCACCTCACACAGTCTCTGTTGGCTTTGCTGACAACACTGCACCCTCTCCCACCACCTGGCTCTTCCACCTGCTGCCAAGTTGGGAATGGCTACACTAGGCAGGCAGCCAGGTCTCTCTGGAATTGACCCTCACCCCAAGTGTCCACTGGTGGGGCCTCTTTGAGCCCAGTGTGGGAAATAGTAAGGATCTGTCAGACCAGGCTGAACCCAGCTGTAGGGAGCCAGGGTGGAGGGCCAGGTCCAGAGGCTGGCTAGGCCCTCTGCTCTGGGGAGCCCTGATACCCCAGCAGTGCAGGGACTGGGCTAGTTGTCACCAAGGGATGACAATCCCAGCTCCAGTCCCAGCTAGACACAAAAACCATCTCTGACCTGCTCCCCTTGAAAGGCCAAAGTGGAAGAAGGTGCTAGAAAAATGTCGGTTTAGATTTTATTAGTATGGCAGAAAAGGGCATGCCAGCATCTCTCTCCTAGGCAAGCATTCTTTCTAGCTCCCTGGGAAGGAAGGGAGAAGTCCCTGCTGCTCTGCTCTCCTGGCTCCTGGGCTCGAAGCTCTCTGCACACACACCTACTGCAGAGCCACTAGGATGCATCTCTTCTCCAAAGGAGGAGTATTTCCCGCTTTGGAGTGGGAGGGATGAGGCACCTTCGGGGCTACATCATCTCTTCAACATCATCCCACCCCAGCCCGAGTCCTCCCCCTGCTACCTCCCAGAATTAATCACTCCTGGAAACACGACTGATGACTTCGGCATGAGTAAGGCTCCTGTGCGTCACAGCCTGACTGCTGGGAGGGTGAGTGAGTTCAGTGTTTGCTCCTGCACTGCCATGCACATTTGCACCAGGAGCCCAAGCCTCGGGAGCCCGGGGGAGCAGGGCTTTATTTAGCAGTGAACTAGAAGTCCCGACCCACTTCCCCATATTCCAAAGCCCTGAACGATGGTATTGGTCTCAGCATGGAGCAACAGCCCAGCACCTTTCTGGGCATGGCCACGGGGCCCCTTGACCTACAGGGGGCTTTTTTCCTCTGCCTCAGGCACCCCAGTTCCACCCAGCACAGCCAAGCTCAGAAGCAGCCTCCAAGTTGGCAGCCAGCCTCTGCCACCTCAGAGAGGTCCCTAATCCCAAGGCCCACCCTACAGGGTGTGTGCACACAGTGGGTGTGTGTGTTTATGCTCTCATGGACACTCCAATCCCGTGTCAGCCAAGCAAATATTTTTGGTCTGTTTTCCATGTTCCATGTCTCATTTCAGAACATTCGGCGGACATGGGATCACAGCAAAGGAATGTATTAATTCAATGCATTTTAAAATGTCTCTTAAAATTCTTAAAGTTACGGCGCAAGCTGAACGCGCTCATATAAGCAAAACAACATACAAGTCAGACTTTGCTGGTACTCGATAAACAGGGCTGAAGAATCAGCTTCCCCATACCTAGAATGGGTGTAGTCAGGATCTGGATGGTGTGGAAAATAACACCTGGACCTCGAAGCATGAGGCAGCCCCACCTCAATGTTGCATGTAGCCAGTAGCACAAGACAGTGTCTCACTCAGAGCCCCAGCTCCCAGAAGGCCACTGTCCCACACTTAGATCCGTGCAAGTCTTAAGGACTATTGCTTGGGACCCACAGAATTTCCTTTGCTCAAGATGAGAGCGATGCATTAAATGGAAGGACTTCATAGGACTTCATTAAAACCTTTCAGGACAAAGGAGGTAAAACTCAGAGGAACGTGATGGGGCCGAATTGTTTGATGCCACCCCAATCTCTCGAGCGCAGAGGCTGGACTAAGCGAGACAGGCAATTCTACATCTGGGGCTTCCCTGGTTCCTCACCATCAGCTCCTGCCGCATCAGGAGGGACGGTCCTCTCCCTGCTCACTGCTCTTCATTAACATCAGGCTTGGTTCCTTAGAAGTTCCACACAAAGCCGGAAGAAACCTTGAGGAACTCACTCAGGTATCTAAGAGATACCACTTTCTTTCCTTTCCTGTAACTCAACTGAGACCCCTCGCCACCAGAGTGGCAGAAAATTCATCAATCAGTGCAGAATCCCCTGCCGCCTGTTCTTAGTGTGGCTTTCTGGGAGCCAAGGCACTGGGGGGCTTTCCTCAGGCCACCACCCATCAGGCCTCTGGTGGGATGGCCACTGCCCTGACCCCACAGGGCAGCCTCTCTAGGCCACACTGAGGGTCCAGGAGCTGTTCTGCTGCTGCAGGACCCCTGGAGACAGAGGAGGCTCTGCCCATCTGCTCCATCCCCTCACTGAGTTTCACTGGCTACTGAGACCTCAACCCAAGATAGGGGGTGCACGGCTGCTCCCTAATTCCCCCCAGCTCCCCTCTCTCCACCCAGCCTGGAAATTTTTCTCTAGTTAGAAGGATGGCAAGAGAAGAAGCTACTCTCTGTTATAGTGTTTCCCTGGCCCTGTGTCTGTTCCCTTAAAGACTTCACCTTTGAGTACTAAATCTCACAGAATCCTTTTTCTCTGTGCCATATCCCATTATGTCTGCCTCCCCTTGGCCATCAGCACACTGCTTGAGTGGTACAAAGGGTAAATTATAAATGCTGGCGGGAAAAAGAATAAATTCTGGAGAGAGTGGGTTGGTATTTCAAAACTATTCGGCCCCACTGAGAATGCAGTAAAGCTATGGCAGTCACAATCATATGGTGTTGGCACAATAGACAATGGGGTCAAGGAAAGAGTAGAGTATAGATGCAGATTCACACCCATATGCCCCACTGACTACCATCAAAGGCACCAATGTGATTCAATAGGGAAAGGAAAGTCTTAATTTTAAAGGCAGCTAGAATAGTTGGATATTTTAAAAAAGAGCATTGATTCTTATATCATACTCAAAAATCATTTGGAGATGGATATGGACCTTAGCAAAAAACCTGAAACTATAAACATTTTAAAAGAAAATAGAGAAAATCTTCATGACTTTGCAGAAGGCAAAGTTTTCTTATATGGGTCCCCCAAAACACAAGCTATCTTTTAAAAGCATCGATAAAGCCAAGTGTGGTAATCCCAGCCCTCGGGAGGCTGGGGTTGGAGGACAGCAAGTTCAAGGCCAGCCTGGATTACACAGCGAGACCCTGTCTCAAAAAACAAAAAACAAAACAAAGTAAGAAAATTATTCATAATTTTTACTTCATCCACATTTTCTTACATCAAAAGAGCTAAGAAGAAATTAGGCAAGTCAGTCTGAAAAAATAACTCACGAAACATGTGTCCGACAAAATTCTCCTACCCGGAATGTATAAGTACCAGCAAATCAATAATGAAAATAAGGGCAAAGAAGTAGCTCAACAAATACAAGCAAGCCGCAGACTTGAACAGGCATGTCACAAAAGATTACCGGTGGCTAATAAACAAGTGAAAATTGCTCAACATCATTGTGTTAGTCAGGAGATGCAAATTAAAACCTTGGCACAATAACCCACTAGGGTGGGTCACACCCACTAGGATGGCTAAATTTGAAGACCAACAATCACAAATGTTGGTGAGGACATGGAACAACTATAACTCACACACTGTTGGTGAGGATGTAAAATGGTACATCCATTTTTGAAAATTGCCTGGCAGTTTCTTATAAAGTTAAACATATTCTTCTCTAATTCTATGCCCAAGTATTTACCCAAGAGCAATGAAAACATATTTTTACTGAAGATCTAATTCAAACAATGTTCCACAGCCGTTTTATTTTAAAAAGTAAAAAACTGGAACCAACTCAGATATCTATCAGCAGGTGGGTACATAAACACATGGTGCATCTTCTAGTACTAGAATACTAATCAGCAATAAAAATGAAAATCTGATTGATGCAACATGGGTGAATCTCAACACTACACTGAAAGAAAAAAGCCAGCACCAAAGAGTACTTCTGGTGTAATTCCACTCATAGAAAGTTCTAGAACAGTCAAAGTAATCTATGTGATAGAAATCAGAACATTGGCTGCCTCAGCGTGAGGGCTGGCAACTGCCAGGAAAAGAAAGGAAGCAGCTGGTGGGGAGACATGCTGTGTCCTGCTGGGAGTGTGGTTATGCAGGGTACGCGCTGTCGAAACTCGTTGAATTTTACACATACGGTCTGCCCATCTCACTGGATAGAGAGTAAACTGATAAAAAAAAACAGAAACCGTAAACAGGCTGGAGAGATGGGAAATGGGAAGTTGTTGAATGGCTAGAGTTCCAGTTTTGCAAGGTGGAAAGTTCTGGATGTTGGTTGCATAACAATGAGAATACACTTAATGCCACTTAATTGTGCAGCTACAGATGGTTAAGATGGAACATTTCATGGGTATTTTACCACAATTTTAAAAAAAACAATATATGCTACCACTTAAAACTTAACAAATCTTATTCATGATAATTCAAAACACAAACAACTTGATTCCTTATTTGTAGCTTCTTAAACAATAAAACAGGCAAGGTAGATCTAACGTTAAGTATATTTTCCTACAATAAAGTGAAAAATAAAACAGGCCCAAGGCCCTGCTTGCAGGGCATCCACAGCCTGCTCTGCCCTGACTGTTGCCACTTAGGCCCTTCCCGTGGGTCAAGACTTCCTGCGTGGCGCCATCATGGGTTTGGAGAGGAGAAGTTATCAAATATCGACATGACTTGTGCTATTTATTGGGAGAAAAAAGCTCCGAACTTCAGTGTGATGGATTCTGTCCCAAACATCCTGGTTTCTAGTGTCTCCATAGTGAGTCTTTTCCAGTCTTGCCCTTCCCCACTCCTACCCTGCACCACGCTGCTAGGCCCTGCGGACCCTCTCAGTGAAGGAACGGCCTGTAGCGAACCCACGCTCTGAGGTGGCTTAGGCTTATTTGTCTTAGGAGTCTCCCTGACAGGGCGGCTGGGTCTGGCCCAAGCTCCCCTCCGACCCGGGCAGAGGACGAGTCCTTCTATGTCTGGCCACTATGCCAATATCTTGCTTGCTTTGCAGGGGAGAGTGGAATGGGAAGAAGGGCCTGGGACACTGCATGGCTCTTGAATCTTCCAGAGGTTGGACTTGCCAGTCCCCCTGCACTCAGCCTGCACCTGCTCCCTCCGCAGCACCTGGCCCAGTGTCACAGTGGTCACTTAGCAAACGTGGACATGGAAGGTGGTGTTGGGAAGGCTGGAGAAGTCAGCATGAAGGCGGAGATCTCACCCCTTAATCCATTTTCTGAACCCAGGTTCCCCAGAGCCTCTTTGTGTTGTCAGCTGTGTGCTGTGCTGGGCCGGGCCAGAGGGAAGGAGGCAGTCAGGGAGCATGATGGACCCGCTCCCAGCCCCTAGCCCCAGCCTCCAAATGCCTCACCCACCGGCCCGGACTCTGTCTCTAACGTCCATCGCAGCCCGGCCACCATCTGGGGGAGGGACTGGCTCAGAGCCATCTGTGCTGAGGTCCACAGCATGGCTGAGGCCCTGCCAGTCCAGGAACCGAGAACAGGGCAAGGTTGGGGACGGGGGACTGAGGGACAGCGGTCCCTGGCAGGAGGGCTGACTGAAGCTCGTCACGTGACAGAGGAGTGATGTGGACACTCGGATGGGGGTGGCAGACGTTGGGCCCGGGCGGAAGGAAGGCAGAGGAAGGGGCTGTATCCTTGGGAAGCAGCAAGCTGTGAATTAATGGACTCGGGCCGATTAAGCGACAAGCAGGACAGCCACCATCCTGGGTGGTCGTGAACACCAGTCTTCACAGTCCCCTCCACCCTGCCCACCAGGCCTCCCATCTCCTCCTGGTTCCACAGTGCCCAAGCCAAGGGCAGCGCTGGGCTGGTACTGATGGCTCCTGGTCTTTGGCATGGACTGTTGAGAGAGGAGGAGACCCGAGGCTGATGAAATGCCACTTATAGGGCAGGTCCGTACTCAGAGCCTTCCTGAGGGCTGCGCCTTGTTGTCCTTGTGATACTTGGGGAAGCCATCATCATTCCCATTTCTTGGAAGGGGAATAGAGGCTCAGAGTGGGGGATGGAACTGCCCAAAGTCTCACAGTGCTGAGACACAGGCCCTGCTCTCTCTTTACTCCATCACAGTATATAATCAGCTCACAGGCAAGATTGAAAAGATGTTTCAATTTTCTGCTCAGAGCCCCCGATCATGCCTGTCCCCTGCCCTAACAGTATAAACTGGGGCTCCTACCAACAGCTCCACCGCTGAGTCAGATTTTAAGGCCATGGCAGAAGAATGCTCTCCAGAAGGGGAGATTTTAATTTTTCTGAAATAAAAAATTTAAAACTAGGGATGCAAAGAGCCTCACAGTGTATCACAGAGTATGACAGATGGAAGATACAGCTTAGCTCGTGCAGGAACCTGAAGGGGCCGTTATGTCTGGACGCAGGGAGTGACAGTTGGAAGGGGAAGTGAAGAAGTTTCTGGCTGTTCTGTGGGCTTTTTCAGAAAGGCGGTGACCACCTGCTGCCCTGTGGAGCCTGCATCAGTGATGTCAGGCAGGACCTAGAGCAAGGCCGGAAATGAGGCTTCCCAGGGTTGGCTCGTTCTTCCCAAATCCTCGGAGGAAAGGACCAGATGAGCGTTAGCAGATGCCCTGCCATGGCCTCGGTGGGTGTGATAGCAGGAGACATTCTACCTCCTCTATTCCAGCTCCCAGCCCACCTCAGTCTGGTGCTTCCAGATCCTCACTGGATGCTGTTAGACCTAAGCAGCCGTGCTGGGAGATGCAGCCACACATGCTGACAGTCTCAGTTTTTCTTTCAGACCTGCCCACCCTCATCTACTCCACAGCTTTGCCATCGAGGCCTCTGGTGACCAAAAGCCAGTGTCTCTCTATCTGAACTCCCCCAGTTGCCAGCAGGGCCTGCAAAGCAGGGTTCTGGGGCACACATGGGAATGACAGCCCCCTCCACAGTCCCAACAACACCAAGCTGCTGCTGCGAGATGGGAGACCTGCTTCTCTCAAGGATATGCAGGGGTCCATGATCGGGATGCAGGGATCACTTGGTTGTTCTTAGAGGACTGATGTGGTCCAAGCAGCCCTGGGCATGGAAACCAAGCAGGCCCAGAACATGGCTCCCACCAGCAAGCTGGGAGAGGAGCCCAGGTTCTGAGAGCAGTCACCTGAGCCTGCACAGCTCCTGAGGGCCACTGCAGAGGGAGGGAGGCCCACCTGTCCACATCCTTGACCCCCGAGGCACTACAGAAGAGCCTTCCTTTGGAAAATAGCCGGGAAGGGGTGAGCCAGCGAGACCAGGAGCCAGTTATGTTTTTGGCACTCTGCCCTCCTTGTAAGTGGTGAAAAGTTCAGATTTGCACAAGCTTCCCTAATACAATAGCTGTGGAGGCTCACAGGTATTAACACAATGTCTTTTGCATGTTTAGAAGTAGCTCCACCACTGCCGCCAAAGGTGAGCATTTGTTTTTTAAAAATAAACACAGGGAGAGAATGCACCCTAGTGCACAGGTGACTGTTATGCAAGCCACCCACCCACCTGCTTGGGTGGGGACCTGCCCACAGCTGTCACCCGGCTGCTAACTCCTCCAGGCACACCCTGCTCATTAGCCACACCCAGCTGCCCTGCTCCTGGTGGAACCAGAATGCCAGGAGCGGCTGGTGGCTCCCTGAACCCTGAACAATGGGCCATGCAGGAGTCAACCTGGGCCCAGGACCTCAGGCTCCACAGAGCTCAGAGCTGGCCCTGGAGATCCTCCCTCCCTGCACCCAGCACCTGGGCCTGCAGGGCCTGCAGGAGGGCCTGGCTCCTGTGTCTCTGTGGGGGCCAGGAACAGCCAGGGGCCTAAGAGGGAGCCAGGCTGAGCTCCAGGTAGTAAAAATAGACTCTGTCTAGAGACTGCCTACCTCAGTGAAGGGTGATCAGCAGCAGACATTATCTCACCCCTGCTCAGTGTCCCCCCAGGCAGGTAAGGGATGGGACTTGCTCCTGCTTTATAGCTGGGGAGCCCAAGCAGAGAGTCTGGGGCAGACAGAGAAGAGGCCACAGGTACAGCCCTGCACCTGCCTGTGCCTGGGCAAACCTCTGCTAGCCCATGCCGCTACCCGCTGGGGGGGGAACATGTCTCAAGTAAAACACATTACCTGGCCCCACCCCACAGGAAATCCAGACCTCACTTCCATCCTGCCCCCTTCCCTGCCGTCAGCCACCCTTGGACACCATGTAGCATGAGGAAGGACGAGCTGCCCAGTTCCCCCCACCTGGGAAGCACATCTCACAGGCGCTCTGCTAACAGGATAAACTGCACCAGGGTTAGGCCGGGGGCAACAGGCTGCTATTTGTGGAGGCTCCTGTGACACCAGGAGGTGAATGTGGCAGCCATCTCTGCCTAGTCACCGGGCTGACCACAGGGCCAAGATGGAGTCACAGGCCACAAGCTCAAAGGCACAGAACTGAGGAGAGGTAGCAAGAGCCCTCACTTAGACAGGAGATTCCCATTCAGTGAACCCAACCCAGCACTGACCAGTCCGAGGAACCTCCACTCCCAGGCCTCGTATGTTCAATGAGGGGCTGGATAAATGAGATCCTGACTCCTCCACTATCATTAGGTGGAGTACCCTGACTCCCAACTCTTCCTTGCCTCTTTCAATAAAATCCACTCTAATTGGGGATTAGAATTGTCTAAATTAAAGGCTGGGCAAGGAGTAATGGCAGCCATGATGCAGAGAGGCTATGCAGGAGCACCTCTGAGGGGACAGCGGAGAGAGGAGAGGAGAGGAGAGAGGAGACACCTAGAAAGCTTCAAGACCCCACCCAGAACCTGGCCTCAGGAAATTCATTTCATATTCCCAGGTCTCCAAAGCCAGGCCCAAAGCCCTTGAGCGCAGGGGCCTCTCCTGGAGACTTGGGCAGGGGGACCCAAGTTTCCTGCATCCAGAAAACAGCTGGACGAGTCAGTAGCCATCCTTCCTCCGAAGGCTGGCCTGAACAGATCTCTCATGGTTAGGAGTTCTCTTGGGACATCTGGGGACTAGGGTCTGGAGGCTGTACCTCCAGTGGAGGAACTTGACAGTGGCATCCCGACCTGGGACACCCTGAGCTGGAGTAAGAAGAAAGTAGAAGCTTCCAAGTAATTTCACCCCTCCATGCCTCCATTTCTTTATGTATTCTACTTCACTGGGTTAATGTGAGATTGAATAAAGGAGGGTCGTGCAGGATAGGGGGCCGCGAGCACCACCTGGGGAGCCCTAAGGAGCCAGAGACCAGGGCTTAAGGAGGAGGCCAATGTCCTCCACACTCTGCTGTGCACATTCACCTATTAGGAGGGCCCAGAAGAAAGGAGTTCCAAGTTCCACCAGCTCCATTACTTACCATTTGAACTGGTTAATTATTTGCAGAACACGTTTTGATTTACAAAGTCTTTTTCCCATATGTGATGTCATTTGAACCTCATAACAACAGAGTAGGTGTTTCGCCATTTCATAGATGACAGACCTAACGTTCTGAAATTCTAAGCAACCTGCTTAAGGGATCTCAACCTAAAAATGACAAAACCAGGCCTAAAGACTGGTGGTCAATTTCCAACCACAGCACTCTGTCCAGGACATTGTCTCCCTCTCTTCGGGACTACGGACCCAGCAACATTCCACCAGGACCCAGACAGCAGACCGGCCCTCCCACAGCAAGGCCATGGTGGTCTGCAGGCAGAGGGCCCCGGAGACTCACCATACCATTGTCCCAAGCCCACGTATGGGTCCATAGGGAGAAGTGTGTCTGACACTCAGTAGATCTTCCCTGGAGGTTGAAAGGGCTGGGTTTCTTTCCTCCTTTGAAGCTCCCCGACGTTACTTCTTTGAGAAACAGAGCCACCATCTGCCTTCATATACCTGAAAGGTCATGGAACAGGGAATAGTCTTCTGAGGGGACCAACCAGGAAGCAGAGGGGACAATGTAAGGATGAACTCTCCAGCTACAAGAACTGCCTTGGGCTGTTGCAGTCTGATTTGAGGGAATTTTTTTTTTTTTTTTTTGGTACCGGGGATTGAACTCAGGACCTTGCGCTTTCAAGGCAGGCAGCAGAACCACTGAGCTAAATCCCCGGCCCTGTTACAGTCTGATTTGGAAGGTGGTAAACTCCCCATCACTGAAGGAGGTCAAGCAAAGACTGGGTAACATTCTACCCTGGGAACATTAGGAAATTCGACCCCAGATAGTTGAGTGGGAAGAATGGAATGCATAACATTCCCATTAAAGTGATCCCAAAATGGGAACTACTTCTGCTTTTATTTGAATCCCTGATGCCCCTCTACAAGCACCATATTGGATCAAGGTAGAGTTGTCACTGAGTGTCTAACTCCTGTTGTTACTGATTGGGATGCAGTAGGGGAAGTGGTCCAGGGAGGGATGGTGTCTCTGTGTGTGCATGTGTGTGTGTGTGTACATGTGTCTGTGTGTTAGTCCTCAGTCACACCAGCTGAAGGTCTAACACGGAAGGTACTCCTGGAACTCCATGCTCTGAGGACTAGAGACTTTGAGGCTGTCCTTCTCTGCCCTCTCTGACAAGTAACTAGGCCATTCCCATTGCTTTGGATGACCAACCAGAGACCTGCCTGCACTCCATAGGCAGCTGTCCCCTTTGCCACAAATAAGTTTTCAGGTTTGGTAAGGACAAGCCCCACCTTGGCCATGGGTGCTGGCCAGCCACCTGCATCCAGGAAACAGCTGGATGAGTCAGTAACCATCCTTCCTCTGAAGGCTGGCCTGAACAGATCTCTCATGGTTAGGAGTTCTCTTGGGACATCTGGGGACTAGGGTCTGGAGGTTGCACCTCCAGTAGAGGAACTTGACAGTGGCATCCGACCTGGGACACCCTGAGCTGGAGTGAGAAGAAAGTAGAAGCTTCCAAGTAATTTCACCCCTCCGTGCCTCCGTTTCTTTATGTATTCTACTTCACTGGGTTAATGTGAGATTGAATAAAATAAGCTATGTGCCCCTAAAATTCCTATGTTGAATTTTTAGTCCTTCAAAGCTCAGAATGCAATGGTTTTGGAGATGAGACCTTTAAAGAGGTGATTAAAATGAAAACATGGGGGGCCCTTATCTACTCTGACTGGTGTCCTCCTCATAAAAGAAAAGATGACAGGAAGGAGCCACACAAAGAAAAGAGCATGTGAGGACACACAAACACCAAGGATGTACAGAGCGTCTGCACATGAGCAGGCAGCCAGAGGGCAAGGAGAGAGGCCTCCAGAGAGCTAGCGCTGTCTGTACCCTGACCTTGGCCTTCCAGCCTCCAGAACGGTGAGAAAATAAGCTGCCTAGGCTGTGCTATTTGCCTCTGACAGCCCTACCATACTAGTATAGCATGTAAAGCACTAGAACAGTAGCTGACACATAGTAATCACTCAATAAATGCTAACTACGACCACAGTTATTGTTATATATTATTGTTTATCTCAACTGTATACCCACTCTGAGTTTCCAATTGCTGCTATAACAAATTACCATACATTTACTGGCTTCAAAGAGCAAGAATTTATCACTTTACAGCTCTGCGGGTCAGAAATCTCACTGAGCAAAAGTCGGTGACATCAGACTGCTTTCTTTTGGATGCTCCAGGAGAGAAGCTGTTTCCTGACCTCTTGCAGCTTCCAAAGGACACCCGTACTCCCTGGCTAGGATGCCTTCCTCTGCCTTCAAAGCCTACAGGATCCTCACATGTATCCTTCTCCAGCCCGCCCCCCCCCAGATAATCTAGGGTTACCTTCTGTCTCAAGGGCTGCAGCTCAGTCCCATCCGCAAAGCCCCTTTTGCCATGTAAGGGGACATATCCACAGATTTGCAAGATTGGGATGTGTGCATCTTTGAGGAGCATTATTCTGACTGTCACACACACAGGACAATGCATATACATTATTCTTATTTATATAGAAAGTACTAAATAAGTATGTGTGGAGAGAAAATACAGAGAGCAAGAAATGAACAAAACTGCTAACCCTATGGTATTTTGCCGGGAGGGAGTTAGAGTTTAGATTCTTTGTGTATTGCTTTAAAGATTTTTAACAACATGGCTGTGTTCATAATTCCTTGTGTAATTTTTCTAGCTTTGTCTTTTTTTTTTTTTTTTGGTATTGGGGATCAAACTCAGGATTTTGTGCTTGCAAGGCAGGTGTGGTACCACTGAACTAAATCCCCAGCCCCTTTGTTTGTCTCTTGAAACAGGGTTTCACTAAGTAGTTCAGGCTGGCCTTGAATTCACTGTGTAGTCCAGGCCAACTTAGAAATTACTAGGTAGCCCAGGCTGGCCTAGCACTCACAATCCTCCTGCCTCAGCCTCCCAAGTACTGAGATTATAAGCATGTGCTACCACATCTAGCTCTACTTGTAAATTTTTCAAAAGAAATTTTAAGTCATTCAAAGAAAAAAGAAGAGACATGTACCCATCCTTATGGTGCTCAGGCTAGGGACAGCAAATAAATCCACAGCACCCAAAGCTCCCAGCAAGTGTTGTAAGGAATGAGGGCAGAGAGTCATGGCAGCTGGGAAAGGGCTGGCTGCCCAGGGGACCCCAGGAGACTTCTGCAGAGTTCTTAAGGGTAAGAAGGAGTTTTCCAGGATTGGAGGAGGGAGTAGAGCAACGCCAGTGACAATGGGCAAAAAGAGTCCGCCCTTCTCACTGCGTGGGTGCTCGGAGCACAGGCTGGAGGCAAGAGTAGCACACAGCTGGCCCAAGCCTGCTCCCAGTGGATGAGGGCCAGGGCAAAGGTGGCACGTACCTGCTGAGTGCTGCCTGCCCAGCCCTGTGCTGAGCTTGTATAAGTAATTCCTGTTAGAAGTGAGCAAGCCAGGCTGTGTTTTGATGGTGGCAGATAGGGCTGGACTCAGGGAGAACGACATGGCGGGGTAGCTTGGGGCAAGGTCTGCTCCTAGGGTGGCCATGCACACAGGGGAGGGGTGAGAACCGAAGCAGGGAGGACCACATCTGGAGAAAATACCCCCCAAGACCGACCCCCACATCTGGGCTTCCCATCAGCTCACCTACGCTTCAGCCCCCGACAGGTCCAAGCTGCAGGAAGGGCTCAGGCAGCTGACTGGGTGGCTGGCTAACTCTGGACTTGGTGCCTCAGGGCTGACAAGGGGTCTCCAAGTGGGGCCGGAGGCGGCTGGCCACAGACCTGGCCCCACACATTGTGGCAGCAAGGTGACTACATGACACTATGGAAGGGCATCTGAGCTCAGGTGGGGGCTGGGCCTGAGCAGGGAAAGCAGGCAGGGGGCTTCCACCTGTGGCCCTCTGCCTCCTGCACGCCTCCTGATTTGCAAAGATGACCTAGCTGTGCCTGAGGGTGCAGCCGTAGGCAGAGGAAGCTGCAGGTGGGGCGAATGGGCTGATTACAAGCAGCCAGCCCAGGTTTGCAGAGTCACGTGGGCCCAGGCAATGGGCTCAAATCCTGGTCCTGCCAGTTTCCAGCTGTGTGGCCTCAGACCAGTTGTTCGGCTTCTCTCTGTCTCAGATTCCCCAGCTCTAACCTGGGGTAATTGGTGGTATCTACCCCATAGTTACCACGCGGTGCATGCTGGTGCAGAGCGGTGGCGTTCCGGGGACTCTCTGGGGATCTCTCAGCTGGCCTGGCAAACAAGGTCCCCTTTGGGGTCTCCCTACCACCCTCACTCTTACCCGCTGCTGGTGCCCATGGTGTGACCTGTAGCACAGGCAAGGGAAGGAGTGATGGCTCTGGGGTAAGGTTATGCGGGCAGTGCCTTTGCATGGCAGTAGCCATGTCCCTTGGCACAGAGCAGGGGCTCCAGAGGAGCAGACATCCCAGCAGGGCCTGTGGCACCCCCAAGTGGCTGGTGGAGAGTGAGGGGGGATGATCTGTTCAGGTAGCCCCTGCCCACAGGGAGGCCCCTCTCCCATGAACAGGGGCGGGTAGCTTAACAGACCCTCTCACTTGGTCAACAAATGGCAAGTTAATGGCTGAGCTAGGAAACAGCAGCAGTCGGGGTGTGGTTTCCTAAAGCCACTGCCAAATGGTGTCAAGAGGCAAACGATTAGAGTGAGGTGCGGCTATCGGTTCATCCAATCAGTTAGGGATTCTCAGAAAGGGCTAACAAAGGAGGGGGTAGAAACCGTGACCACAGAGGAAGCTCAGCCTCCCGCTGCTACTGAGCAGCATAGCCTTGGCCAACTTGCTCCAACCCTGAGGGTTCTGCCTCCCTGAGTGATAATAGGGAACGACAGCTAAATGATGATGGAGTGAATTGTTATGCAGCACTTACAAGGTCTGAGTCACTGTGAGCCCATTATCTCATGTGAGCCTTATAAGAATGCCATGAGGTAGAAAATACACAATCCTCCCTTTGCAGACGAGAAAATGGAAGTTCTGGGAGGTTAAGTCATTTGTCCAAGGTCACTCAGTAAATGACTGGCCAAGCAGGGATTTGAACTCTTGGATGTCCAGATCCAAAGTACCTGCAGAAATCCCCGTTGCGACCTCTCGGTCACCTCTGTGCTCTATCCTAAGCAGCGAAAAGCAGGAGTGGCTGCCTGGCTCCTTTGGGATCCACCTAGCTGCTGTCTGGGGCTGGCCTGTGAGCAAGGTGTGCAGGGATGGCCCCGGCCTGCAACCAGGCTTGGCTGCCTCACACCCAAGCGCCTTGGCTCTTGCAAGCCCATAAAGGTCTTTGCCTGTTTTCCTCACGTCCCAGCCTTGTGTTTCCCCTGAACCTTCCTTTGCAAGAGCTTAGTACCCGAGTCCTTTCCATAGAAACCGCCTTATCTTCCAGTTATAAAAGAATAATGTCTGTGAAAACTTTTGCAAAGGAACTTTTCATCCAAGACTCGCCTAATTCTCCCAGCCCCACAGACAGGGGAAATGATTATTATCACCACTTTGATGGTCACCTGAGGCAGAAAGAGAACCACAAGCAGAGGCTGCAGAGTCACATGGGGCTCCTTGGTGGCCAGCTGGGTGAGCTTTCTTCTCTGGAACTCAAGAGAGTTGTGAGGACTAGATGCAGACCGGATATGCAAAGCCCTGCACTCACTGACGGTGGTGCATGAAACAAAGTGCATGAAACAAGGTGCATGAAACTCTTTATTTTTTTGAGGTCCAGTTTTTAAAAAATAGTCTTTATTTTTGAGAGTAGTTTTAGTTTCACAACAAAATTGAGCACAGAATACTGAGAATGTCCATATGTAACACACACACACACACACACAGAGTCCTTCACTATCAGCATTGCCAACTACAGTTTATGGTGGTTTGGGGGGTTTTGGTGTGTTCATTTGTTTGCTTGTTTGTTTTGTGTGTTGGGGGAGGGGCACTAGCACTGAGCCACAGACCCAACGCTTTTATGTATTTTTCATTTGGTAGCAAGGTCTCACTAATTTCCTGAGTTGCCTGGGCTGGGCTCAAACTGTGACCCTCCTGCCTCAGCCTCCTGGAGTGCTGGATTATGGGCGTGCGGGATTTCACTCAGCTCAGAGTGGTACATTTCTTAGAACTATGGACCTACACTGATTTGTCATTATCACAACCCAACATTTACATCAGGGTCATCTTGAAGTTATATACTCTGTGGGTTTTTTTTTCTTTTTTACATTCTGTGGGGTTTGACAAGTGTGAGTGACACGTAGCCACCATTATGGTACCATAGAGAATAGTTTCACTGCCCTAAACGTCTGAGTTCTCCCTAGTCACCCCTTTACTCCTAGACCCTGGCAACCACGTATCTTGTTATAGTCTCCATAGTTCTGCCTTTTCTAGAATAGTATACAGTTGGAATCACACAGAACGTAGCCTTTTCAGGCTGGCTTCTTTCACTTAGTAGCACACATTTAAGGTCCCTTTGTATCTTTTCAGGGCTTGATAACATATCTTTTTAGCACTGAATACTATTCCTTTGTCTAGATGGACTACAATTTATCCGTCACCTACTAAAGGACATCTTGATTACTTCAAAGCTCTGGCAATTATGAATAAAGCTGATATAAAAAGTGGGTGCCGGTTTTTGTGTGTGTCAGTCAAGTTTCCTGTTGCTGGAACACAGTATCTGACAACCAGACAGAGAGAAACAAGAAGAAGAAAGAAGAAGAAAAGGAAGAGAGGTTTAATGTAGCTCACAGTTGCAGGGGATTCAGTCCATAGCTGGCTGGCTCAAAGTCATGGTGGGAGGGCACGGCAGAGCAAAGCCCTTCACATTCATGGAGCCGGGAAGCAGAGCAGGGGAGCAGCACCATCGAGAGAAAAAACAATGAAGGACAAGATAGAAACCCCAAGGTCAGAGCTCCATGACCCACCCAGGCACACCCAGAAGTGTGTTGCACCAATCCCCTGGGCAGATCCCAAATCAATCAGGGTGACACAAACAAGCTTAAACATCACATGTAGATATAAATGTAGCTCCTTTGGTAAATACTGTGGAGCAGGACTGCTGAATCACACAGTAATGCTAAGTTTAGTGTCATGAGCAACTACCCAACTGTCTTCCGAAGTCACTGCCTTGTTTTCCATTCCCACCAGGAGAAGAAGGAGACTTTTATTTCATTCAGAGATGAAAAGTGACCTGCTTAAGATTACACAGCTGTTAGCTGGTATAACAGAGCCTTGAAAGGTTCTGCTCTTTGGGTGGTTTCCACTTGCCCACACTTCCCTTTGGCTAGACACAAACACACCCACTTCCCACTGCCCTTGAGAGTTGCGTCCTGCTGCAGAGCTCGGAGGCCTCCCTCTCCTACTCCCATCCAGCCGTGCAGAGCCTCCCAGGGCTCTTGCCCAGTGCCCACAGCCCCGTGTCCACGCTTCCCTACACCCTGAGACAAACCAGGGGACTCAGCGAGGCCCTTCTCCCATAAGTGCAGCCCTGCCAGCCTGAGTCTGAGGAGTCCCTGGGAGTGTGGAGACAAAGAAGAAATGCTCAAAGCCTGCCTTCCTCCTATGCCTCCCTCCCTGCCTCCTTCCCTTCATCTTTCCTTTGTTTTTTGGTACCAGGGATTGAATTCCGGTCCCTCTGCTTGCGCAGCGGGCGGTGAAACCACTGAGCTAAATCCCTGGCCCTGTTTCGTCCTTTTAAATGTCTAATTCATGTACCACAAACCATTTTAAATGAACAGTACAGTGGCATTTAGTACACTCACCATGTTAGGCAACCACCACCTCTATCTAATTCCAAAACATTTCTATCGCCCAAAAGAAAACCTTGGGGCCGGGACTTAGCTCAGTGGTGCCGCCGCCTGCCTCGAAAGCGCAAGGTCCTGAGTTTGATCCCTGGAACCAAAAAAAAAAGAAGAAAACCTCACCTTAAGCAGCCTCTCCCCGTGCTCTTTCTTCACAGCCCATGGCAGCCACCAATTTGCCTCTTGTCCCTTCGAGTTTATTTTCGTAATAGAAACAATTGAGTCATGTAATATGTGGCCTTTTGTGTCTGGTTCCTAGTCTTTCCTTCCATCACGCTTCTAGTAAGTCCCCGAGGAAGGAGGAAGGGGCCCCTTCTGCCGGTCCCTTTCCCTGTCCCATGTCCACCTCGTCTTGTGCCCCCTACCCATGGCACCTGTGGCCCAGCTCATCCAGGCTATGCTGTTTCCTATTTCCTCTAACTACCCCTTGCTGAGTACTTTGAAGGTTCATAGATTCATTCAACAAACAGCTCCTAGGCCTTCAGGCAAAGAGAGACCAAGAAATAGTCACTAAACTGTTATAAGGCGATGTGAGGCCAGGGCAGCCCAAAAGAGAGGCAGCTAACTCAGTCTGGGGTTGCCAACGGTCAGCACAGATAACCTGCTAGAGGCTAGGATTCGGATGTCTTGTCTACCCCACCACCCCAGCCTCAGCACAGTTCCTGCCACCTAGAATGGGGACGAATGCACACGACAATCAGTCAATTAAACAAAAAATCCATCTCAGCTAAGAGCTAAATAATAAATGAGAGTTTTCCATACTGGAAAATGAGGACAGCATATTTGGAAACTTGTAAGAGGTTCAGCCCCATTAATAGACCGAGAGGTGTTTTAGTCTACATGAAAGTGGAGCCGGGGATTTAGCTCAGTGGTTTCACTGCCTGCTGCGCAAGCGCAAGGACTGGAGTTCGATCCCCGGTACCAAAAAAAAAAAAAAGTGTGAAAGTGGAAAGAGGGGTGCTGGCGTGTGGGAGAGGACCACGCTCCTGAAGGGAGCTGAGCTTTACCTAGAGGGAGAAAGTGACCCAGTGAAGGGTCTTAGGCAGAGCTGCATTTTAGGAAGCCTTCTCCCTAACCCATCCCGGAAATCACAATGGCCTGTGGAGAGACCAGGCAGACAAAAGGGCTTCATTAAAGACTTCATTAAAAACAATGAATTCAATCATCACACGCGTGCTGGGTGCTCTGGTGGGTACTAGGGTCAGGAAGTGGTCCCCAAGACAATGAGTGAACTTGAAATCAAATCAAAGCCTGGGAAATGAAGATGAGTTGGTCAATCAAAGAGAGAGGCCAAGAGCTTTCCAGGCTACATACACTGCAGCTTTTGGGGAGGTCCTGAGCGGAATACATTGAGGGAACTGAGAAAGTCCAGGGTGGCTGCTGTGAAAACCTGTGGAGAGAAGTTGTGTCAGATGAGGCAGGGGAGTCAGATCCAGAAGGTCTGACCCATTATGGACTTACCCCAAGCAAAGCAGGAAGTCCTTAGTTATGTAAACATCCTATTTTGAAAAATAGGATTAATTGCATTTCACTTTTGCCTTTCTGTACGTGTGACTTTCCTGGTCA